TCATTTCCCTAAGTTCATAGAGTTTCCAGAGGTATGTGGTTTAGGAAGTGGATGCCGCTTCTACTTCCATTATAGACCACCAGAGATCCTTTTATTAGCTGAAAATAAACAAGCATTGCTTAGGTATAATATTATATGAAAATGTACATATTTATGCTCCTTTGGAAGTCATGATGGTGTAATCAGCAGGGAGTTTTACTGCTAAACCAAAGACAGAGCCTCTCTGGAGATTCAAGCTGCCAACCTTTTGGTTAGTTACATACCAGACGATAGGGTTCTAATAACTCCGACTAGTATTTCATGTATATTTTGTCTTGGATTGTGTCCCTCTACAAATATGTATAATTAATTATTTATTTATGGAAATAACTTTTTAAAAAAATCGTAAGTGACATATATACACATGGACATCACCTAATGGATTGCAAAAGAATCAGATTGAGTGTATATGTGGAAAGAGCCAGTGAGGAAGCTCAATTTTAGTCAAAACAAGGATAGGGGCTAACTGTGAAACAAATTATCAGTTAGAAGTGGCATCCACTTCCTAAACAACTTGCCTCCAGAAACTCTAGGAACTTAGATAAATGTTGATAGTGATAGAGGGGCTTTAGGCCTTTTGTCCATAGGGTCGCTAAAAGCTGTGCTCGACTCAAAGGCAATCAACAAAAAAACATGCAGATTTAAAAAAAGATGGACGATGATGAAACAAGAACCTAAATAAGAACAAAGGTCTATCTCAACTGAATTAAAAAAAAATAATTCTGAAGAATAGATTTGATGCATTGAATACTAACGACTGAAGACCAGATCATTTATGGGATGACTTCAAAGAAATAATTCATGCAGAAATTAAATATCTTTTCAAAGACAGGAAAGAAAGAAAAGACAAAAATGGGTGTCAGAAGAGACTCTGAGACTTGCACTAGAGACTAAAATGCTGAAGTGAGAGAAATAAAATTCAAAATGCAACTTTAGAAGTTGAAGTAAAATATTATAACAAAATATGGAAAGAATTGAAGTCAAAAACCAAGAAAAGAATAATATATGAAATATTCTCAAGTAAAAAAAAAAACAAAAAAAAAATCACAAGAAAACCCCACATAACAAACTGAAGGACAAATTCAAGTCTTGAGTTACAATACTGAAGGAATTTTCAATTATTTTGTATGTATCTGAAAGTTGTTGTTGTTGTGTGTTGTAGAGTTAGAACCAACCCATAACTGAACCACCAACAGGTTTTCAGAGGCAGTTAATTGTATGTGAGGAGATTGTCCATCCTTCTCCTGTGGAGAAACTTGTGGCCTTGAACCACGTGCCTTCAGGATTGTAGTGCAGCTTTTTGTTACTAGGCCACCAAAGCTCCCCAGTAAGCATTAAAAGAAAATGGAAAGAGTATACAGAGTCACTGTACCAAAAGGAATTGCCTCACATGGAAGAATTTTATGAAACAATGTCTGACCAAGAGCCTGTGGTGATGAAGGAAGGAGTTCAAGCTACTCTGAAGAAATCGGCAAAAATGTGCTCCCAGGAATTGGTTTCACACTGACTGACATATTTCAACAAATAGATACTGCCCTGGATGCACTCACCAAGTTGTACCAAGAAATCTGGAGGACAAACACCTGGCCAGGAAAAGATTTCGTTTTGTTCCCATTCTAAAGAATGGTGATCTGACAGAGTACAGGATTTATCAAGTAGTATCATTAATATTACATGCAAGCAAAATTTTGCTAAAAATTATCCAAAAATGACTGGAATAGCATGTCAATAGAGAACTGTCAGATATGCAGGCTGGGTTTAGAAGAGGCCAGAGTACTAAGGATATTATATCTAATGTTAGATGGATCTTGGCTGAAAGCAGAGAGTAACAGAAGAATGTTTATCTGTGTTTCATTGACTATTCAAAGGCATTTGACTGTGTGGATCACCACAAACTGTGGCTGACTCTGAGAAGAATGGGTATCTTATAACACTTGATTATGCTTAGGCAAACCTATACTTGGACCAGGAAGAAGTCTTCAGAACAGAGCAAGGAAACACTGCATGGTTCAAAATTGGGAAGGATTTATGCCAGGAATGTGTCCTATCTCCATACCTTTTCAATCTATATGCAGAACAGATCATCAAGGAAGCTGGGCTCTATGAGGAGGAATGTGACATCAGGATTGGGGGAAGACTCATCAACAACCTGCTTTGTGCAGATAACACAACCCTGCTTGCTGAAACTGAGGAGGACCTGAAGCTCTTGTTGCAGAAGGTCAAGGACTGTAGCCTTCAACATGGATTGAAGCTCAATATCAAGAAAACAAAGATTCTCACCACTGAGCCAATTGGGAGCATCATGATAGATGATGAAGAGATTGATATTGTTAACTTCAGTTTGCTGGTCTCCACCGTCAATACTCTTTATACCAGCAGCCAGAAAGTATAAAGACAAATTGCATTGGGAAAGTCTGCTCTCAGGGACCTCTCCAAAGAATTGAAGAGCAACAATGTCAGTTTGGAGACTAAGGTGTGACTGATCCAGGCCATTGTCTTCACAATTACTTGCTATGCATCAGAAAGCTAGACAATAATGAAGGATGATAGACGGAGAATAGATGCCTTTGAGCTGTGTTGCTGGAGAAGAGAACTGAATACAACATGGGCTTCCAGGAGAACAAGTTTGTCCTGGAAAGGGTGAAATCAGGCAACTCCTTGGGGGCAAGGATTCTGATGATCCATCTGACATACTTTGGGCATGTTGTAAGGAGGGACCAATCTTTGGAGAGGGACATCATGCTTGGGAGCATGGAGGGACAATGTAAGAGAGGAAGAACTTCAACGCGATGGATTGATTCAGTGACTGGGGTAATGGGGATAGGTGTGTCAGAGACAATAAAGTTGGCTCAGGATAGAGCAGAGTTCAGAAATGTTGTATATTGGGTCACTATGAATTGTAAGTGACCTGATGGCAAGTAACATCATCTGAAAGCTGGATGTTGAATAATGATGACATAACCTGGAATTGTGGTGTCAGAGAAGAATACTGAATAGCCCATAAGTCTATCTTATAGGACATGCAATCAAGTTGCTCCTTGGAATAAAGATATTGAAACTTCATCTCACACGCTTTGAGCATGTTGTCAATAGAGCCCAGTCCTTCAAAAGGACATTATAATAGAAATGGTGGAAGGTTAAAGAGAGAAGACCTTCGATAGAGAGTGACAAAAATGGTTCAGAACAGGACAAGGTGACATTTGTTGTTCATAGGGTGCTGTGAATTCTAGGTGACCAGAGCGCACTTAACAACAACAAACATGTGTCAGAATTCTGACCCTATTCCTGTAATTACATGGACTAAGAACACTCTCTAATGGCACTCTGCATTAAGATTTTGAGTGTCCTGTACTGTGACAAATTCAATTTCTGGTTTTGCATGAAGTACTCACTTCTGTTATTTCTATTGCAGCAACAATAAACCAAAGTAAATTGTAAAAAAACTTTTACCATCAAGTCAGTTAGTGAACCTTCAAGACAGAGAACGGTTCCATAGGCTGAACAACCTTGAGGAAGCCAACTATCACTCCTTTCTCTCAAAGAAGGAATAATCAATCTTTTAGTGATCAGCCAAGCATTTTACCACTGTGCTACCAGGAATCCTTCACAACAGAGCTAGGAAACAATAATAACATGCATGATATCATTTGAGGCTCACAACACTTCTGCGTATTATGCAATGTCGTCCTTATTTTAAAGAAAACTGAAATACAGAGATTGATAGTACATGCCAGGGCAGATCTCAAAGATAAATTTCATATCCTCTTTACAATATTAACTGCATGAATCGAAATCCTGTCCTCTCCGGTCACATGCTCCAGACAACTACAGTCAAAACAGACACATAAGTAATACTCCTTTTAGATAGCATCTCTAGCTAATCATTAATCCAGGGAATGCTCTCTGTGGCTTTGCGGTAGTAACCCTAATGGGTATCAGGAAGACCAAAATCTTTCAGCTTGTTGAATTTATCTTGATTTATTGCTTTTAAAACATGGCCCGAATCCCAGCTATAGTGGGAAGTTCAGCATTTTCTTCATAATCTCTGGCTTCGTGTGAAGAGCATGTTTCTTTTTGTTAGCTCTTACTCTGAATCTTTCCTTACATTAATCTCTATCTGTCTTGTTCGAGTTCCTTGTTATGCAACACTTAGTAAGCAGAACTTATTAAATTATTAAGTATAACTCTTCCATATTCAGTTACATACAGCAGCTTTGTATCCAGTACAAAGTGATCAATTTTTGTTTGTTTTTAATATAGAATAAAGTGGAAGTAATTAAATCACAATACAACAAAACACAATGCATCTTATGTCTTCATCAAGCTCTCCTTGCTCTCAACTCAGGAGGCCACTTTATTCTTAAGGGAAATCTACCAACCTTTCTGTACTGCCTTTTGCACATTCTCAACACACATTGAGGGCAACTGTTCCACCAACTACATATGAACCATTAAAACATCTGCTAAATCAAAAAGCAATAAGGCACTTTCCCCCCCCTGAAGAATTATGGTACCTACTTTATAGGTAATAGTTTCTTTTCTCTTTTCTTTCTCCTAAAGTCAAAGCCGAAAGTTTTAGAGACTAGGAAGACAAGCGGTGACTTAGGGACACTGTAAGTTATATATCTCCCCCTTCCAGGTTCACTTACAGATTAACGTACCTCATACATAGTTACCACACATCATCATCCATCTTGGTTTCTGTAAGTTAGACTACTGTCCACAAGGTTAGATCACATTCAAGCACACACACTCCAAATTCACATCTTGGGGAGAAAATAACTACAGTTCTTTCTCTTTGGAATAAATATGTCTGTCTACTTGCTAAATACTACATACAGAGAGCAGGAAGGGGAATAGAGCAATCAAAGGGGTTAATAAAAGTTATGTAAAGGAAATGGAAATATCATGGCTTTAGGTGCATCTTAATTCTCAACATGACATCTGTGTTGTTTTTTTTTTCATTTTGGAAGTCCTTTATTGTAAAGATATTTCTTTTGTCTGATGACAAACAGCAGCCACGCTGTCAGTGATAATTCGGGACCTCCACGTTGGATAAACTCCATTTCTTCTTGAGACATAAGTTTCCTTCTGTATTTCTGAGGTAATGTTTTTAGTATTTCTGCAGTGTCCGGTGGCCCCTGATGCATCAGCAAGTCTGGTGATTTACTTCCCTTCGAATGCTGTGACATTGCAGAGGAATGTGATGGGATTCCTGCTGATCTCAGAGCTTCTGATACATTGAGTTTAGGGTTGTCAGTTCTATCAGGGAACCTTATTAACGGAGTATGTGGCTTGACCACCTGAACGACCCTGCTGGCGGACGCCATTTTGCTGCCCATCATGACCCCCCGAGTAGGGGCAGCTTCCGGGGTGAGCCGCCGACATCTGTGTTTTTTAAACTTTAAAGATTTTTTTTTTTGTAGTTGATTCGTTCAAAACAACACATTGCTTAATTTCTTGACTGTCTTCCACGGCTGTTAATGATAAATCCAAGAAAAATTAAATCCTTAACAACCTCTATTTTATTCTTTTTATTATTATTTCGTTTATTGGTCAAGGTTTGTGTGTTTTGGGTTTATGGTGAAGTATAAACCATACTGAAGTCTGTAGTGTTTGATCTTCTTCTGTAAGTCCTCTAACTAACTACCACTTGCTTTCATCAACCAAAGTTGTGTAATTTGCATATCACTGACATGTTAATGAATCTTTCTCTAATCTTAAAAACGCTCAATTCCTGAAGACCAATTTCCAAGATTATATGGAAAATATGGCACTATCCTAAAAGTGAGCTGTCAGAAACTGTCAGTGGCTTTGCAGGAGAAAGATGTGTAATCTCCTCCAACTTGATTTGCAGTCTCAGAGAACCTGCTAAAGGATGGCTATCTAAGAGTGGATTCTGACCCATCAACATATAACAACAGCAATATTATATGTGCTGGAAGAGGGAAATTAAGTTTCTAATAGGACCTTATATATATATATTTTTTTTTTTTTACATTTATTTCGCTTCACCTACATTTTGCAAATTGGAGTTCACTCTGTTTTCACTTTGTCCACCATGTCTGGATTTGAAAGAACAGGTTGGGAATCTTGACATTAGCACCTGATCTTTACCACAGGCTCAGGGATCATTCTGCTCTTCTGACCTCAGACCTTCATCTCAAGCATCTCCCTGTCTTCTAGTCTCAAAACACAATCCATCAGAGAGAAGTGAATACATAACTATGTTATTATGCATGGCTCTTTCGATTCAGTGACCATACCAGGACTAAAGCCTAATACATAGCCTCAGATTTTACCAATCAAATACTTTTTTATCTGGAGAAAAATACTTCTTCTAAGATTTGATTCTCATCTCTTCTATTGCTCCCACTTGAGGTCTTCACAATAAGAAACAATCGAATATATGTGACGTCAGATAAATATGGTTAAATTTATTCATGTCATATTGTTTCCTAGTTACTTCTCCTAGAAATTAATGCAAAAGAAGTAAGTTCATGATAACGTCACTAATCTAATATAAGAGATTTCTGGTTGCCTAGTCTGTAGGGTTTTGTGCTGTTAACCCAAAGGCAGCACCAGCAAAGTGGCCCTGAGTAGTTCCAAATGAGAAAGATTGGCAATCCCTTCCCTTGGAATTGACAGTCTCAGTAATCCTCTGGAAGTTTAGCTACGAATACATTATAAGAAATTATGTTAGCAACCCAGAGGGAAGTTATTTGAATGCACCAGCTGCTCCACAGGAGAAAGCTGAGTAATCTATTCCTGTGTAATCGCTGTCTCTGAAGACTCGAGGGAGGGTCAGCTATAGATCGACTCTGACTCGATTGTTCACAACTATACCAACGGCAATCAACATAATTTCGAGCTCTGAATGTGAAATGTATTAGCAGGTGAGATATACATTTTTAAATATATAATCTGTAAGTATGCAAGAAAAATTTTTCATACTAGAATTTAATACTTGGTGTACTTGATGTAGCTGTGAACCAGCCACTGAAGGCAATGTTATTTTGAGGTTCCATTCCTAATATTGTATGTCATTAATAAGCAAAGGGAATGCAACTAAAACAAAGTTGTTTGCACATTAAAAACAGGGCCTACACACATATGCCGTGGAAATGAGTTTTAAATGAGACAGTTACTACCAGTTAAGTTTATAAAAGAATTATTATCACCAATTTGAAGCTTTTAATAAGTGATTTTGTTGTGTTGCTTGATTCTTTGCATTTAGAAAGTATATTAAAAATATAAAAAACATGTTCTAACAACATAGCCATGGCCAAGAGTTGCTATTTCATTTTATTTTTTCTTTATATTTAGATTCATGAAAGAAAAATTCAATAACTAAACTGACTCAAGGCAGTGAAGTAGGAGAATTTATAATTGGCAGGCTTTCAACCTCTTCTTCCTGACTTTTTGTCTTTCCGATGGCACTGAGCTATCTCCTTTCTTCTGGTTCATTACAATCTCCTCTTGGGAAAACTATGGACTTAGTAATTTTCAAGTGCTTTAAATGTTAATCTCTGTGCTTCCAACTCAAGGTATATTTAAATAACTTTTATGCAGTTGACTTTATTGTTTGCTAAATAACTTTCAGCACCAAGAAGCAGATGAGGAAGACTTTCTTAGAAAAAATATTTTGAGATGCATAGCAAAGTGGACTGGAGGAGGTGTGAGGGGGAGGAAAAATTATGCAACAATGAATATTTTTTTAAAGTGAACTGGCAGAGGTAACAAGGAAAATGTGCAACAATGAATGAATGAAAATTCATCTTTCCTGTAAACTTTTCTTAAAACCACATTTTTTAAAAAGCCAATTATAACAAAGCCAGAAAATAAAAAAGAAAAATATTTTGCTGTCCAAGATATTAAAGCTAAAGAGTGATTTTCATTTTGTTTGAATAATCATTTTCATATTTTAGCTAAAACAATCACACATTACATTTGACTGGCAAGATGTTAGCTTTCCATTTTATATCCATATTCAAGAAATATCAATGGCCTTTTAATTTACTCCTGAGCATGTCTTGCAAGTTCTTTTATGTTGTTTCTAAAAGAATTGAATGGCAGAAGGTGACTAGCTGCTATACTGCAAAATATCAGTGAGTCCAACCACAACCTATCTTCTTCTTGATATGATGGTTTTCCACAAAAAAGTGGTAAACCATTTCGATAGTGACTTGGATCATCCTCAGTTATGAATGTACCTAGAAACAGGAACTTAGTGGAACTGTAGTTCCTCTACATTTTGCAAAATTCCGAAGTACATTTAAGTTCTGGGGTTTCATAACATGAAGGAAAATCCTGCTTCAGATTATCCAGAAATTACTGGAACAGTACGTTGATAGAGAACTACCAGAAATACTAATGGGTTTAGAAGAGACCATGGCACTAGAGACATTATTGTCAATACAGATGTATCTTGGCAGAAAACAGAGGACCAGAAGGATATCTATCTGTGTTTCATTCACTATCCAAAGGCATTTGACTATGTTGACTACAAAAAAAAATGTGGTTAACCTTAAGGAGAATGGGAATCCCAAAACACTTGATTGTGCTTATGCGAATTCTATGCTTGGACCAGGAAACAGTCCTCAGAACAGAATAAGGAAACACTGCATATTTAAAAATCAGTAAGAAAGTGAGTCAGAGATTCATCCTGTCTCCTTACCTTTTCAATTTATATGCAGAGCAGGTCTTTCACAAGGCTGGGTTTTATGAGGAGGAATGTGGAATCAGGATTGGAGGAAGACTTATCAGCCACCTTAAGACTCATCATAAATTGTGTTATGTAGAGGACATAACCTTGCTTGCTGAAACTGAAGTGGAACTGAAGCACTTGCTGCAAAAGGTCAAGGGCTGTAATTATGGTTTGAAGCTCAACATCAAGAAGACAAAGATTCTCATCATTGGGCCAATTGGCAGCACCACAGTAGATGGAGAAGAGATTGAGGTTATTGACAAATAAAATTTGGTCAACTCCACAATCAGTACTCTTACCACCAGCAGTCAGGAAATCAAAAGATGAAATTCCCTCAGGAAAATATGCTGTCAGAGTCCTCTACAGAATACTGAAAAACAAAGGTGTCAGTATAGATACTAAGGTGTGCTTAGTGCAGGCCACGGTCTTTGCAGTTACTTGTTATTCACCAGAGAGTTGGGAAATGACTAAGGGTGACAGAAGAAGCAGCAATGCCTTCTAACTGTGGTGCTGAAGAAGAGCCTTGGGCCAATTGGCAGCACTACAATGGATGGAGAAAAGGTTGAGATTGATAACAGTTAGAACTTGCTTGGCTCCATAATCAACACTCTTAACACCAGCAGTCAAGAAATCAAAAGATGAATTACATTAGATAAATCTGCTGTCAGGGACCTTTCAAGAGTATTTATTGAGAAAAAACTACGTCAGTCTAGAGACTAAGGTGCGCCTGATTCAGTCCATCATTTTCGCAATTATTTACTGTGTATCAGAGAGCTGGATAATAACTCAGGATGATAGAAGAAGAAGAAGTAATTTTTGTCATTATTAAAAATCTGAATTTTAAGCAGATTTTTGAACTGGTGGTTCATAGCAAACAGCTCGTTCAACTTTAACACCTGTCTCATCTCCAGTAGCTTTTCCAAAGCTATCACCATGAAGCTCCATGAGTTTGCCCAACTCAAACTTGGGCTTCTTCAGCATTTTTACTTTTCTAACAAAGACATCATGTAGAGGATAAATAGACTGGCAAGCATTTTCTATGTCTTTCCCAATGCTGTCTGGACCTCTTGAGTCATGATTTCCATCCTTTAATTCCAGATTTGGCAGATGTGTTGGTGTTGAGCATTAGATTTCTTTCAAATCTGATTGTGGGTTTTTTTGGTGTTTTTTTTTTTTGTTGTTGTTGTTGTTGTTTTTGTCACACCGGCACAAAGCAGATGAAGCAAATAACCATCAGTAGTCTTGACATCAACATTAGCTTCAATCGTCTGCCATTTTTTTACCATGGAGCACATTTTGTCACGAGTAAGATCCATGCCATGGAAGTTGGTGAGGCAGTTTTGACTTGAACACCCTCAGTAATTAGCTTGAATGTTCTAACTGCAACCTCATCATTTTGCAAATCAGGAAGGCTCACTTAAAAACATGACCCTTGAGACCATCAGATGCAATTTTGGTTCCTTGAGTCCCTGTGACTAGTGTCTTCCCAGTATTTCTTATATTGAACTTAGCTGACACCTTTACATCATACCAAACTTTCTTAGAAAATGGATGAGCCACTTTCTTTTTGGCTTGTTTTTTGCCACCTTTTGTAAGTCCCTTGCTCTTTTCGAACGCCATGGTGGTGTTCAGAAAGCCAAAAAGGGC